AACGTCCCTCTTTCCCATATTAGGAGAAGAATAACTGTTTGTCATCACTGCCGTATCTGAGTGAGGAAAGAAACTGAGCAAATGTTGCCCGTCAGCGTCCAGACGCAGTTAGCATTAGTCATGTGACATTAACAGTGAGTTGAGCTGGTCAAGCTGTGGCTTTCCAGTACGAGACTTAATATTTTGTTAGATATTAACTTTTTCAGTCAGTAAGTGAGCCATTCAAAAATGTAGTTTTCCTCACTTAAACTACATCTGCTGTTTGTATTTAGTACATAGGTAAAACCTTATTCTGTCATGGACAACTCTTGTCCACATTACACATCCAGACAAACATGAGTAGAGGCACTCATAGACATTGTGTGCACACTTACTCATGCCAACAAGAAAGAACATTGAGGGATTTATTTTAGATAATGTGAGTGCTGTAATTGTGTTAAAATTGCTAGCAACTTTTCCACGACATTCTAATTTATTGAGATGCACCTGTAAATTAAAAACTTCTAATGAAAAAAAAAAACAAGAACAAAATTGAGGCCTATTATTTGCCTGATTGTTTCACATTGTAATTTAAGTAGTTTCTTTTGATGGAATGACCACATTTTAATTGAATGACTAAAAATGACCTAGAGTGTTATATTAATTGGTGCTGACAAAAATTTGGCATTATTTTTGGCATTATTACAAACATGTTTTTGAGTAATCTAGTTGTAGGTACACATTCATCTTGGAAAACATGACATTGTAATCTTAAAATTAATTTAACTTGTGGTTTTGTTTTCTAAGCATATGGGTAAAAAAATCATTTGTAAGTATAAAACGCAGCAAGTTTGAAATGATAAAGCATACACAATCCCATTATCTAAAAAAAGATCAACAGAAAGCTGATGCCTAGAAAATTATGTTTCTGCATGTGTTACTGCATGTGTTAAGTGTTGTTTTGTCAGCTAAATCTAGCATGCTGTTTGTCTTGTTTGATTAAAAAGAAGACTGTTTATATCTGTTCTAAAACATGAGATGATTACTACCTCATACTTCAACCAGTTAATAGAAGCTCATTTTAAGCAGTAGGCCTATATTAGGCAATTAGATTGATATTATCCTAATCATAATACTCCATGCCTGCAGGTTACTGTAAGGTTGTGAACTCCAAGCACATTACGTGGGATATGCTGCATAAATCGTCACAAGTAATCTAATAATGCTGTTTATTGCTCACTCACCTGTTACTAAATTTAGCAGCAGTGCTTTGTCAGAGGTCACACATAAATATTCCAGCACGCAGCTGTCTCTGAATCTGCTACAGCAGACAAAGTCCAGTACTAATAAATGTCTTCTTGTTCCCAATTAAAACAGAAATATACAGTATTTATATCACATCTCTTCATAATGGCTATCAGTCTTCTTGCACTATTTTGCCCTTTGAAGTTCATTAAACAGACAGTTATTATGTTTTATCACTTTAAAATGATGTACATTAACTGTTAGAATTTGGAGCTTCCACAAGTGTAAAACGTGCAATATACTTGTGAATGACATACTGTACATCTCTCACTTTTACATTTGAATCATATTTGTTATTGGCCTCATTATGATTAAGCATGATGACTTAGCACTAGAAGAATGTATTTGTGCATGTTAATGAATATTCACACAGACGCTCATGTAAAGCAAGTTAAACCACTTTAACTCAAGTATCTTAACACCCTTAGGCAACATCAGTCAGGTTGCTCCAAGAGGATTGTCCTTATAATATGTGGCCCTTTGTATCAAACATCTACTTAAATGGCTACTTGCATACTAGAGAGATGAAAAGAAAATGTCCAAGCAGTTACATCAATCACATTTTGGTCCATTAAATATGTCTCCTACTTAAGAGTTGGCACTGTCTGCTTTTTGAGATTTTCTTGTTTTTGTTGGAAAGTTTTAGTTTAGGCCTGTGAGATAAGATATGGAGGCTTTCAGAGAGAAGTGGGTGGTTACTCTGATTACTAAGATGTTGAGTTGAAGAAAGAAAGCAGAACGCACTTTTTATGCTTTGCTTCCCTGAAGTTCTCAGGCTCCACAAATAGCAACCCCACCCCTAAAAAAACAACAAACCTTAATGGTCACTAGATTAAGATCAGAGTTAAAGATCACAGATATGACAAAGTTTTATCCAGAAATAGTTGTATTTATTTTTATACAGCAGTTGGTGTTAAATTAATAATTTTTGCACACGATGACTTACTTGCTCATTGCCATCCTACTGGCAAAAAACATGAAGTGGTTTACGTCAAATGCTTTACCCGTGACAATTGTTCAGTTATTCCTGCATTGGCACTGTGCAATGAATCTGGCACACTGTGTTTCATGTTGGGTTTACGTGAAAGCAGTGTGTTTGTACAGAATATATTGGACTCATTATGTATTTAGAGTGTGTGTGTGTGTGTGTGTGTGTTTTGTTGGGGGGTGGGGGGTGGTAGTAGGTGGTGTCACTGGCAGTTGTATAATAGCACTGCTGTGCTTCCAGAGCTACTTTGGTGGGTGTGTCTCCCAAACCTCCCATTTGCTGATTACACAGGTGCTCAGTGTTCCTTCCTCAGTCCACACACATGCTATGAATTAACTCAAAACCAGGAAAACTAATTAAAACAGCAAAATGTTAAAATCATCAAAAATATAAGAAAGACATCCCATATTCTTCCTTTAGAGACTCTATTCAAAGAACTGAGATTCACTATTTAGTTGACAAAATTCCACAAAACCAGACTGGTGGAAATGGTGCTTACCAGTGTGTAGTGGAATAGAAAGAGATGAACGTGTGTAGCACAGAAAAAAATCATACAATACAAAACAATAACAGTAGTATTGCATTGAGAAAGCGCAGCATAACTAGTGTGTCGCAGTTTGAGGGGGCATCAGCAGGGCTGGACTGGGACACAATTTCAGGCCGGGAAATCTCACACTCATCCAGGCCACACAGAAAAAAAGGGGCCAAAATTGTACCTTTTGGGGTACAACAGCTTGACACTGTAGCAGTACACCGTACATATTAGCACCTTAAGAGTAGTAATTCGTACCCTTAGGGTACTAATTTGTAGGCCTACCTATTAGGGGTAAAAAAGGAACAAATATGTCCTTTTAAGGGTCCTGTTCCAGTGACAAGCTGTTGTACCCCAAAAGGTGCAATTTTGGCCCCTTATTTCCTGTTTATAGCCTATACATCCACAACAATTTCTGAAACCAGACAACCCTATTATTTGTATGGCCATCACATAAAAAAGGTCTGAATCCTTAGTCTGGGGCCGTGGAAAATAATTAAAGGTTCTCTCTTGCACTGAGAGAACCCCCCCCCCCAATTTCGATTGGAATATGTCATTTATTTCTGTGATCAAAAAGCTGAATCTTCAGTGTCACATGATCCTTCAGAAATTACTCTAATATGTTCACTTGCTGTTCAAGAAACATACTTGTTGTTATTATTATTATTATTATCATCAATATTTAAAACAGTTGAGTACACCAGGATTCTTTGATGAATAGAAAGGGGGATTATAGAAATTATTACTTTTATTTAGCAAGGATGCTTTAAATGGATCAAAAGTGATGATAAAGACATTTATAATGTTACAAAAGATTTCTATTTCAGATAAATGCTGTTCTTCTGAACTTTCTATTCATCAAAGAATCCTGGTGTACTCAACTGTTTTAAATATTGATGATAATAATAATAATAATAATAACAATAATAAATGTTTTTTGAGCAGCAAATCAGCATATTAGAATGATTTCTGAAGGATCATGTGACACTGAAGACTGGAGTAATGATGCTGAAAATTCAGCTTTGAAATCACAGGAATAAATTACATTTTAATAAAAATATTTCACAATATTACAGTTTTTGCTGTATAATAAATGCAGGCGTGGTGAGCAGAAGACACTTCTTTAAAAAACATTAAAAATCTTACTGATCAATACATTTTGACTGGTATTAAAACAATTTCTAAAGTGCCTAAATGTCAAAATTAGTACAATATATTTATTGAAAAAGTCTAATACACTATTGAATTATTAGGCTGTGCGATTTATGATTTATTATCGATTTATTATCGAATGAAAAAATCTGAAATGATCACGTTGGTACATCGAGAAGGCATAAATATAAAATAATAATAATAATAATAACTAAAAAAAACAAAAAAAACCAGGGCAGCAGGCCAAATCAGCCGCCAGGCCACCGTGAATTCTCCCGGATCTCCCGATGGCCAATCCGGGCCTGGGCATCAGCAACTGGGAAAGATGCGGGACATACTGTATAGTTCACTAGGAAACAGTTGGTCTCTTCAGCCCTTACTGAGGTTAAGTGCTTTGCTCTGGCACAATGGCAATAGATAGGATGCCTTATTCAATTCTCCAAGTGATGCATCACCTCCATATGGGAGTCAACAAGCAACTTTGGCATTAATAGCCCAGATTATTAACCATTAGACTGCTCACTCCACTAACTCTTTGAAGGTTGTTCAAAGAGGCATTGGTGTTAATTTGATAAATTAATTTGATAAACCCACGTTAGTCACTCTCACAGTTTATACCGTCACATTTTGTGCGATCTTTGTTAGGTCCAGTAGAAGTAGGCTACATTAGAAAGTGTTACAACCGAATGGTCAGCCATGATACATCTAGTTTTTTTAAACATACGGGATGAACAGCTTGTATTAATGTTATACATTTAATTAACAACAGAGCCTACTGATGATACCAATTAATTTAACGTGATGAAATGATCAAATGGTAGATTATAATTTCATACTTTATTAATGTTTTTGTCATTCATTTATATTTGATCACATTGTATCACCTGTACGTGCAGGTAAGCATACACCAGTCATAGTGAACGTGCAAAAAATTACTAAATACAGTAACAAACACATGCAGGTGTTTTGTTTGCTTATCAGTCTGTACCTACATCAAGCTTGGCATCATTCAATGCTATCTGGCATTTACTTTCTCTCTCCGCCGACCGTGCGCAAAGACACATTGTCTTTGTCCCTGGTGAATCTTATTTTGGGTACATCGCTGACGCTTTCTTGAGGGCTGAACTTTGCCCACACCCTCCTCATACACTTCCAGCGCTCGTTGACGCCGTGTCCTCATGGTTGTCTCCCAGCTCCCCGCGGAGGCGTGCCCACGCCGCTCAAATACAGCGCCGCAGACGCGCGTCTGACTCATTGGGTTTGTCAGAGCGTACAGTGAGGTAAGCAGAGCCGCGCTGCCCACGCCGAGGAGAACATGCGATTGTCTCGAACCATATCCACTCCCGACATAGAGACACAGCGCGTTCGTCTCAGTGTATAGTGAAGCGCCTTTGCCGATTTAGGAGAGAAAAGTTTTAGGAGGTGACAAAAGCTACGACGGTTTGGACGTCTACTTTCCATCCAGCTGTTTGTGGAGGACGCATGATTTACCTGTGCCGGACCAAAAGCGAAGATTGCATGAAAGGTGAGAGTCTTTCACTGACAAATCTTGGTGATTTGGAAAGGAAGTAGTCGCGAAAATATTGATGTGCTCTGTCGCCCTTATTAATTAAGCTGTACAAGTTTAAGATTGTCTTTCAACCTGATTAATTGAAACGTGGCTACTGTTTTTTTTTTTTTGCTGGAATATTTTAGAGTTGTGTATATGACTTTCCTAATGGACTGTGAACTAGTGATGGATGTCTGCCAGGCTCATTAGTCAATTTAAGAACTATTGAGTAAAATAAGTGTTTATTTCATGTTAATGTCATTTAGTGCTATTTGTATTTAACAATTTTACCTGACTAGAGCCCCAGTAAAACCAAGGTAGAATAAAAGCAGGCATTTTTAGGCTGGTTTAAGCTTGTTTTAGACTGATTTAAGTAAGCAGTATCAATATTGGCATCAGTTACTAAAAAAAGTAATATCAGTCAACCACTATGAAGTAATTACACTGGTTTGTAATAATTAACTCTTGAGGAGTTGCAGATGACCAGGTAAGGACCTCTGCTGAGTACAGTTAAAGATAGACTTTCAGTAAAAGCTGTTTTTTGCTTTGTTAACTGCAACATTTAAAAAAAAAAACTTGTATTTATTATTAGTCTGTGACTATGAGATAACCATCAGGATTACTTTACATTTACGCAGCTGTTTGACAATGAATGTTCTTATTGTGGGTATATCTAAGTGTCTCTTTCTACAGCAAATGTGGCAACATAAAACACATTGGACAAATTTTGGGTTTAAAAAAAATCTGCTATTTCTGAGATAGTTCACGAAGCACATTGTGGTTCAGATGTTCACAAAGGTATTCTAAAGGAATGGTAATTTCCTTACAGATGTGCTTGTGTGTGTTTGTCTGCTTGTTGCCAGTAGATCAGATCAGTCTATTTTATTTTGTGTTTGCATTTCTCACCTGACACACGCTATTACACACCATTGTCTTTTGGGACAAGAAATATTTTCAAGGTGGCGGGATGTCGTCTAAAGCTGTTTCCTGTAGAAAGTTTCTCCTCAACAATAGGCATTGGGGCTAAAAACAGTTGGAGGTCTGAGTGGTGACCAACATCAGAAGCATCTGAGGATGCTGAAATAATGGGCCAGAAAAAAAAGAGAGCACAATGGTATGGGCCACATGGCCAGCACAATGTGGGAATAAAAGTGATGTTTTTGGGAACACGAGACAAAAGAAAAACTAGCTGCCAGTGTTACATAACTTCTGCAAGGCAGAACTACAACACCCCTCTGTGCATTTAGACTTGACCTAATGAGGCCCTCAAGGGCATGTTAACACGGGTTGGTTCAAATACATGTTTGAAATGGGCGTTGTTATCGTCCTTTTTCCAGCAGAGTGTCTCAGATGACTCACAGACGACAGATGTTCTTCCACTCCTGCTAGACACAAATGCTTAATATTTGAAGCTCCTGTGCTGCATGCAGGAGGAGACAATGCATAAGTGTGTTAATGCTTGACTGAAAGCCAGAGCTGGCAGACAGTTGCAGTCAGATTGCCACATAAGAACAATGTTCTGGGTCATTTTATGCTTAAACATTAAGGTAGTGTGTGGTTAAATATGAGGTGAAAAACATGGTTAAGAAAAGCAACACTTGGACCACACGCGTAAATATCTCTTTGGGGTAAAAAGCATGTTGTGTTAAGATTTTCACCTCATGAGCATGAAAACATCTTTCTCTTGTTCTTTGTTTCAGATCTCAAGGCTATACTGAGTTGCACCACACTGGGAGGCTTACTGGATAAGCAGGAGAAGTATCCCTGTGACTCCAAAAAAGTGTCTCCGCTTCTATCTTCTCCCACGATGGCCCTGGCCTCCTTCCATCTGATGCAAACTCTAAAGAACTCTCCGGCGGCTCTGCGTCGGCGATTCCGTCGCGACCGAACAGAGAGCCTGTCTCACGGCGATCCCCTCTTCAAGGTGCACTACCTTGGCACCAAGAAGATCTTCTCCCTGGACTTGGAGCAGGCGGAGGATGCCATCGATCGACTCCTGGATGGAGCCCCTGGGAAGCTTTCTAAAGATCACGCCCTAGTAGTGCGACCCCGATACGTCGAAGTTAAAGAACTGAGCACCGGAAGGCAGCTCACCAAGACCTACTTGCAGGATATTGCGTACTGCGCCTCGCACACGGCCAGGCCCAATGTGTTTCTGTACATCTGCAGGCAGCCCGGTCAGCAGCTGCAATGCAGAGTGTTCTGGTGCAGTCGGGCAGAAAGGGCGAAGGACATGACAGCCTGCTTGGCGATGTCGTTTCAGAGAGCGCTAAATGACTGGCAGGGTGGATGCGCCACGTTGCCGCAAGGGGAAGGGATCACTAAAGAGCCAGAGATTTCTGGTACGCCCACTGCATCCAAAGGCTCAACATTGCCAGCTAGTTTGGGAAAAGGTGAGTTAAAGCAGGATAAAGTGGAGACAGATGAGTGCTGTACTCTTGTAGCTTAAACAAAAGATGCTAGCAATGCCAAGGTCATGGGTTTGATTCCCAAGGAATGCATGAACTGATCAAATGTGTACCTTGTATGTAATGCAAGTCACTTTGGATAAAAGCGTCTGCCAAATGCATTAATGTAAAGAGTGTGATGAATGCAACCAGAAAATTGCATTTGCTCAGTGTTCTATTTTTCTGTTTAAAAGTTGTAACTGTTTTGTTTTGGATTTTGTGTTACAGTCCGTTGGAAGAAGAGGGAGTCAGTGTCCCGCAGTCCTCTCCGTGCCATTTCCAGAAGAGGTTCTGCCAGTGACAACTGGCATTGATGGACCCCGTCCCACCCTGAAGCTTGACCACATTAATTTTTTTGATGCTTGGGATTTTCCAGCATGGAATGTGAGGAAAAGGACAACCACACCTACAACTGGTGGAACGTTTGATCTTTGATAGAGTTTGCAACTCAAGTTCAGAGTCTGTATTCTAAACAGCCACTGCATTTGAGTTTACGGATTTACCAAAGTGATAAAATGTAAGTTTCCAGAGATCACTTTTTTTGGTTTAGGAAATTGATGGGTTCAGTCATGCTGGTTTAAATTTCATCTCAGTTTGCTTAAGGACTATGAGACACAACTAAAACTGCTAACCTGAGCTGAACTGGTATCTAGTTTTAAAGCCATGTATGTATCACAGAGTTGAGTTTTTCTAGTCAGTCTCCTCCTGTGTGTACACTACATGTCTGGGTAGTTTGTTAATGAGACTGATGAGCAGTCAGACAGGCTTTGTTTGTATTAGAGGTGTCAGGTGAGGATCTGTGTGGGAAGTGGGTGGATGCTAAATGATGGTAAACAGTAGGACCAGCACATAAAAGTAAACGCTTTGGAAAAGTGTTTCTATCCCAAATGCACAAAGGAAGCAATGGTTTTTATGCTGTAAATGGCATTTTAAAGACAATCAGTTTTATTCTAAACTACTGTATGCTTTCACATGCTCTTTTTTTTTTTTTTTTTTATATGGCCAAAACCTTCACGCATTATTACCAATGACTGAATTATAATTACACCATCAATGTGACCATCATTCATGGTGTATTATGTACTGCATAATTATATACTGTCTTGACAATCAGGGCTGGTTGTAATTTGGCGTTTTGGTACTGAGATTCTTGTTTCTGGTTGTCTTTCATAGCCATATAATATCCTGCTTTGCCTGGTTCTACCTCAGTTTGCCATTTTTATTCAGCTTTGAACTTAAAGCGTAAGTTCTAATTCCAAACAGATAATGAAGATTAGCAGTATTGCTGTGTGCTTTTAAAATGAGATTATTCTTTCTATGCACCTGCATTCCAGCAGTTTTTGAGGCCATAATGGCTCATGCCCCCCCCCCCCCATTTTTGGCTTGTTTTACTACATCGGCCCATTTTTCTTTGAGAAGGAAAAAAGCCCAATAAGTCACTGTCTCCAGGCAACAGCTAATGACGTCAGAATGCTGACTGATTCAAAGGTATGCTTGTATAGAGCGTCCTTGAAAAAGCAGCATCTTTGCACTGCAGTTATATGTAGTTATAAATTGCAAGGAAGCATTTTTAAGTGGCCTGGTTGCACAAACCAAGTATTTTAAAGGAGGACACGCATGACTGGAACAATCAACATTTCCTAGTACAAAAGATTGTCCAGCACCTTAAGTAGCTATTTCCCTAACACTGTTACATACGCTCACTAAGAATCGCATCATATATCACAGTAGTATACAGTCGGTGCCTCACGGTATTAGAAATTCTGCCTCATGTGTTAGGCCAATTACATCAAAGGATTTCTTTTTTAATTTTATCCTTATGGATTTTATTTAAAGTCGTATTAAACCGTATCTTGCATTACAACGACCTCAGATCTGTTGTTGGATCTGTTCTGTCTGCTTTATGAGGTGTTTAATGTTCTATGAATGTTCTTGTACCTTCTTTTAAACCTATTTTTGTGTAGATATTTAAATATTAAATGTATTTTATGGAATATTAAACTTTCTATACGTGAAACATTTGTGTCTTGTATTCTATTAATTTATTAAACACGCAAAAGTCACCACAAACTTTTAAGAAGCCAGTTGTTACTTGAATTTCAGGACAGATTAGGTCTTTAAAGAGGGAGCCGTTTCTGTGTAAGTCATGGGGCGCAAATCTTTTAATGTGAGGGATTAAAGTATTCTCGTCTGATTTAGTAACTTTTCAAAGACGTACGTGGTTCACAAAAACATGCAATGGCTGACATTTAGAAGCTTACAGTCACCGGGCTAAAGCTGTCATTATTAAACCTCTTTGTTTGTACATAAATGAATGGTCTTTAATATAAAAAATAAATAAATAACAAAACAGGTTAGTTCATGGTTCAGATTGTTACAATATTAGATTCTAGGAGTTTTAGGCCAGATAGTAAAAACGGTGATCCTTTGGAGTTTAATACCCTTGGATGTTGTTGATTTTTTTTGAAGTACCCGTTTCAATTGGCGAATAAAGGACTTGGAGTCCTGTCGCTGCCTTGAAACCTTTGTACCTCAGAGAGGCTTTGGAAATGAAGTCGTCTCAGTGGCTTCAACTCTTCCACAACTAAGAAATAGGGTAGAGGAAATACGTGTTAGAGGAAGATGGTCAAATCTAGCCAAAGGCCTGTTTCACACAAACCACTAACCGCTGTGGCTCTATGCAGAAAAATAAGTGCTTTTGTGCCACAGCAAAATGAATATATGCAACAGACACAGGATGTATGAAGCAGGTCTAAGACTTTGCTATGTTTAGATTTTTGTATTGTTTTTCTTGCTCACACCCTTTATCGTATGAGCACAATGACAAAAGAACGTTCCAAATATTTGGATCATAGATTTCCCGGACTCCTATCTTTCAAAGTAACTCAAGCTCTGTGCTCACCCAGATCATAGAACGGTTCCTCTCGGCTTCCCTGAACCACAATCATCTCCAGGAAATTCAGGAGTGCCCCAGTGACAAGGAAGCGCTCTGGGAGGGACAGGGTTTGGAGGTAGCGCATGTCCAAAGAGAAGGGGTTGTCGGGAGGCGGCATGGTGCACAGTCCCACCAACTCACTCACTACATCCCATACATGAGTTCCTACAGGGTAGATGAAAGGTTTGTGTGTTATGTAAGACCCTTGTAAAATGAAAAGTACAGATGTTTGATTACTATCCTTCTGGTGGACTTGGGGGTTGATATGCTTTATGGTAACACAGCAATATATGGATATACAACTACTAAAGCAAGTTGTATGTATATTTATACATAATATTTAGCATGTTTCGCAATATTCCCCTTTCTGTCAAACATATTTTATTGGACTGTCCAGCTTTTAATGTATGTAGAAAACTCTTTTATGAAGTGAACTCACTTTTTGCCAGAAAAAGTTGTACAATTTTTATCATATGTTAATGTAAAAAATCTTGTGTGATATAACTTGTGTTTGTTTGTTAGCAGGTTTTTATTGTATTTGTTATACTTGTATTTTTTTTTATTGTTTTTGCCATGAAAATAGCCTAAGATGCTGACATGGCATTAAATAAATATATACTACTACTACATAATCTTTAACCTTGTTTAAAAAAAAATAGTAAACGTTTCCAAACGTTGATCCAGGAACATAAAGAAATATTGTATATAATAAAATTGTGAAAAAATGGCCAATAAAAGTTGAAGATGGTGAAATAAAGAAGTTTAAAGATATTAAAACCTTGGGATGTTGAAACCCAGTCTGTGATGGACTTCAGCTTCATTGGTGTATCTTTGACTAGCGTATCAGTTCCTCCGACGTTTACTAGGCGCTCATGATTGGATCGAATCCAGACATAAGGTTGCCCATACTTGGCATAGCCGGCTAACAAGAACAGGGTGCAGTTCATTTCCTGCAATGAAAAAAAATCTTTTGAGAGCCTTGACCACTGCAAGACAATCAGAAATTTCATCTTGATAACTTACAGAAAACCTAAAAGTTAAAGGTAAACTATTGTATATACAACATTTTATTACAGGTGCACCTCAATAAATTAGAATGTCGTGGAAAAGTTCATTTATTTCAGCAATTCAACTCAAATTGTGAAACTCGTGTATTAAATAAATTCAGTGCACACAGACTGAAGTAGTTTAAGTCTTTGGTTCTTTTAATTGTGATGATTTTGGCTCACATTTAACAAAAACCCACCAATTCACTATCTCAACAAATTAGAATATGGTGACATGCCAACCGGCTAATCAACTCAAAACACCTGCAAAGGTTTCCTGAGCCTTCAAAGTTTCACAATTTGAGTTGAATTACTGAAATAAATGAACTTTTCCACGACATTCTAATTTATTGAGATGCAACTGCATATAGCAAGAGTGCATTATGCAACTTAATTGTATTTCATCTTTAATCTCTTTAATTGATATGTGCACTACTGTCCAAACATTTGGGTTAAGTAAAAAAAAATCATAATTATTTTAAAATAGATTAAAATAACAGTTATTTTAAATGGTAATAATATTTCATAATATTACTGTTTTTACTGTATTTTTGATCAAATAAATGCAGCCTAGGTGAGCATAAGAGATTTCTTTCAAAATCATAAAAGCTTACAGACCCTAAACTTTTGAACGGTAGTGATTATTTTTTCAAACCTAAACGAATTGCCTGTGTATTTTAAGATTAGTAATGTTCTTAATATGTGACCCTGGACCACAAAACCAGTCATAAGGGTCAATTTTTCAAAATTGAGATTTATACATCATCTGAAAGCTGATAAGCTAAATAAATAAGTTTTCCATTGATTTATGGTTTGTTAGGATAGGACAATATTTGGCCGAGATACAACTATTTGAAAATCTGGAATCCGAGTGTGCAAAACCATCAACATATTGAGAAAATCACCTTTAAAGTTGTCCAAATGAAGTTCTTAGCAATGCATATTACTAATCAAAAATTACGTTTTAATATATTTACAGTAGGAAATTTACAAAATATCTTCATGGAACATGATCTTTACTTAATATCCTAATGATTTTTGGCATAAAAGAAAAATCTATAATTTTGACCCATACAATGTATTTTTGGCTATTGCTACAAATATACCCCAGCGACTTAAGACTGGTTTTGTGCTCCAGGGTCACATATGTGAATTTGACATTGGCAATGATACTCACAGGAACAGCGATCTCTCTCTCACTGGGTGAGGCTGGGAGAAGATGAGAATCAACATTCCTGTGAGTGAGTAATGAAAATAATTGATATACAGCACTTAGTTTATAATTGCTACAGTCCAAGGATATTTTTCCTCCACCTGCTGGGAGTTTGTTGCTGTGTGGCGTCTGGTGTCTCTGGTTTGTACTGTGGAGGTGGCCCTTCTCCTGCTAAAGGCGAGCTGGCGTAGTCGCTGTCCAGACTGTAACTGCTACTGCAGGTTGAGCTGGTAAAGGTGGAGGCCACAGACACGGCGAACCCAGGAGAACGCCATCTCTGTGAGCAAAGAGTCATGTTGCCATAAGATACAACTGTCACTGATGCAGCAGCACTTAAGCTTGAGATTAACTATGTTTAATGTTTCCAGAGATAAACGTGTATGTTTGAAGCTGCACTTTATGACTTAACATCTCCAAACATCTTCTCAAACACATTTTTAATATAAAAAAGTCTGAGAGAGAAAACAAAAAGGGACAAACAGAGAAACAAAGACCCCACCAAGTCATCATTGACCACAGTCAGCAGAAGTTCCTCTCTCCCTCTTAGCCAGGGCTGAAAATAATGGAAGCCCTACAGACAGACATAAAACATAGCAAAAACAGCGGCATGAGCTTTAATTACCTCAGCAAGTCGTGCAGTTTTAATTAAATATGAAACTGTAAAAAGTATTGCTTCAGGAAAAGCCCACCTGTAAAGAACCCAGTATTGCAAGCTCCGACAGGAAGTGCTGAAATCTCGCCCTTTGTTCATGTTCCTGCATCTATCACAAAGGCAAAACAGTTTAGATAATTAGTTGTTCTTATAAGGTACACAATACACACTTATATAACAGCAAATGGCTTTTAATGGCGAATGAACAAGATTTGATGAAGCCCACATCCACTAAGGGCTCGTCGCTTCGTTACGAGGCAACGGCAACCAAGCCTGTCATTGCCAGCGATGGATTGAGAAAATAAAACCCTTTGCATTTAATATGCGAATATACAGTTAATGTTTTCACCAAACACATCATCATGATACGACCTCTGCAACACCGTTTATGGCTGTCAAACTAAATCTAACCGGTTAGTTACCGAAATATCTGGAAATTTGAGCATAAGCGCATAAATAAGCATGCAATCAAAAGACATTTTCATATACTTACACCAGAGCTCATGTTTACACGTACACTGATGGACACTCAACCCAATTCGCTGTAAATGAGATGCATTTACATTGAGCAAATTAATGCAAGCACACTGTCACGCCTATTCCCACATCCATTTCTTTGTCTTCCCTCTGCAATGCATTGTATCAGTTTTTTGTTCAATTAATAATACATGCAATAGTCTCTTATCCTAATGCTTTTCCTCCACGGTTTTAGGTGTTTCGGATTTTAGGTCTTATTTGGTATTTGATCTCGCGCTGATCATTGTGCAGATGCTTCTGTCGCGCACAAGGGATCATCTGCGTGTTGTGCTCTTAAAGGAAAACGAAACCATATCGCATAACACCTGTGTGTATAATACTTATACTTTGATGTATTTTTGGAGAGTAACATTTAACACAACATAACAGGATAAATTTGAGGAATCAAATCTAGTCAATTTATGACCAACCATAAACAGTTCTGACCAACAGGTAAAATCTGGGACTATATAGTCACTGCTATTTTGTATTCAGTTAAGAATTATTCAGTGTCTATGTAGCTAAATATAATAGCGGTGTCGTCAGGCACTGTAATTTAGCAACATGGTTATTATTTGCATTTAGCCACAGTGCGTAATCAGCCATCACTTATTGCGTAATAACCAAAGTTAACTGATTAAAGTTAACTGCTCCGGGTGTGTGTTCACGGTGTGTGTGTGTGTGTTCACTGCTGTGTGTGTGTGCACTTAGGATGGGATAAATGCAGAGCACTAATTCCTAGTATGGGTAACCATACTTGGCCACACGTCACGTCACTTTAAATGAAGAAATTATGCAGTATTATTGCTTATGAATCTGTGGTTTGCATGTCTTAGAAGGGTTATAGGCTGGGGTTTAGATGGTAGGCCTGGTGGTCCCCCAGCCTGGCCAGCTAACAAGTGCCCCTAAACCACTCTAAAACCGTCAAACCAGATTTCAAAGTTTCCTCATGTCATATAATCATCTGTCTCCCATTACTAATACTGCCTGTGCCAATACATTGGTGACTTGCACATCAGTAGGCTACGTTTGTATGTATCATGTTCTTTACCCTGATAGCACACGTACATCACGGAGATGTCTATTTGACGTCTGCATTTACATCTGCAAGACATTTTTTTAGAGTGTTTGCTCATCTGCAATACGTCTATAGGACGTTTCCTATCAGATGTCAAATAGACGTTTAGAAGATGTCTTTAAGATGTTTATGATTTAGAATGAATGTAAAACTGACATCTTAAAGACGTCTATCAGATGTTTATACACAGCAGATGCTTTCCAGATGAAGCGATCCTTAACAGACATCTTGCAGACGTGCGTGTGCTATCTGGGTGAGGGTTTCATCTGATTATTACCATAAAAGGTCATATTTAATTTCAGCACATGAATCAATCACACGTACTATACAATTCAGGTTCACAAAAAGGACACAATCTGTAGCTGGTGAATTCTGTGTTGACTAGAAATGACTCACTGCATATATCAAGCAAAATGATGTCACGCCACCCTGTTGCCCACAACAGGAAGTGAACACAATTGCAGCCATACAATACTGCCAGAAGAGATTCAGTGGAATGTGTATTGTCTACTAGCTGCAAAAACACTCTGGGCCAGAACACATTATGTACTTTCTGTTTTAATCAGTCATCTTATTAATTGTTCTGCTGTAAAACCAAAACGCTGGACCAATGTAGGGTACTGATGTCACGGTTTCACTTTTAGTCACTTCTCAGAATATAATAAAGAAGCATGATATGAGTTCACTGTTTCTCATTATAGTTTGTGATAGTTTCTTCCTCTTTCTTTCAAGGCGACCATCATTCCTAAATGCTACTTCTAGTTTCAAATAAAAATAGTGTTTTTAAAATGGATGCCAAAAGCTTTGGTTGTGACATTTTAGTATTAAAAACTATTTCAAATATGAAATATTCAAAAATGAAATTACTCCGTTTTATAGTGTTACCTCTGTTCATTTAAGTGGTATGTTATCGGAAGGTTTACGTTTCAAAACTGACCTCACTTCCTGTCTGACAGTTTAGCTGACAGCATTATGTTCTTTTCCTGTATATAGCTACACTGTGCTTTTTAAGCACTATGGACATCCTGTAAAGATTACGTAGCCTGAAAAGAGCTCAATATTCAGCCACTGTTTATTTAATTAATCAATGTAAATAAGTCACTTCTGGACCTTCAATGTGAGAATCTTTATAACAGAGAAGTACAGTGTGTCTACTCTATTCAATTACACTGAAAAGCTTGTTTCATTCACTAATTTTGCTCTTTCCATTCAGACAAACCCTTCAAATGTCCCCTGAAATATATCCACTCATTAGCCTAACACAAAATATTCTTTTTGTTTTAGCCCTGATTCATAAAAGCTGGAGAATGTGGTGCAGGTTGTGTCAGTTCATTCATTTGTTTCAGGCCAAAAGATTTCATTCCATTGAACACTGCTGTCTTTATGCTTTATGTTCAGTCCTTGAGTGAATTGTGTTAGTCCATTTTATTTTATTCTGTTTCCTTTCCACCTCTCATCTTTTGGATGCTGATATGTGGATGGGTGCTGAAGGCCATGCTGTGAGTGCAGAATAAGACTCAAATGGGAGGAAAAGACTTTAACAGATGTCAGCACCCCTTTTGGAAAAGACAGTTTTGCAGTCCATTTGAACTTTAGGATAGAATTGGTCATATAAATATATATAGCTCATAGCTCTCTGTCATCGTTTTTATAAATCGAAAATTGAAACTCACTTAAAACCCCCTTATTGTTTTATTATGTTAGACTTGTCTTAGTGATTTCTGTTATTCCCCTTTATGGAAGGGAAAAAATAGAGAAATAACTGTGACTGATCACACAGAGCTGGTCTGTCATGCTGGGGGCATTTCCTGCAAGCATGTCATATCATGATGACACTACAGATGTGACTCACACATTCTCAGGCCTAGATGTAATGCAAATTCAATTACATTTTCATTTTTATATGGTTCAACTTTGTTTTTGTGATATTTTAGTATGTCTTTTTTATTATTGAGTTAGTGGCAAGAAAATGTTATAGTGTTTCTGTGACATTTTACAGTTAATTAAATATAGTGCAAGTAATTATGACAGCATGTACAGGCAAATCATCTATTTAGCTTTATTTATTGGTATCATGTCTCCATATGTTATATGCTTAGTTAGTACATAATTTATTTGATACTCTGTATTTCTTTTAGGATCGTCAAATTCTGTCATTTTAACGCAAATGCTTCCTGGCACAGTTTTATGTATCTTTGCTCCCACCTTGTGGACAGATACACCATTACATTGGTTTAATAATCTAGTCAGATTTATTAAATTAATTCAGAATGAATGATTTGTTGTACAGCTGAAAAGGTTATATCTCAAAATACCAAATAAAAATTAATGGCTACAATGAGTGAATAACTTCAAGACTGAAAGAAATGAATGATTAGAAGAACAGTAGTATTATGTATGTATGACTCTATGTTTAAAGTGCAACACTTTGATCCAGACAGAATGGCTTGGTTAGTACACTTAAATTACACCTTAACCTTGCTGTTCCTTTACTTGTTTCACAGTGATTTTATTCCTGCTTTATACTGTGTATTTTATATAAGCCAACAAATATCAGCCCGCAAATAAATATTTAAACTGTGTTCTTCTTTTCCTCTTTAATATTTTATGACAACAGCAATGACTACCATGCATGTGTAGATATTTTTTTCTTCTCTCATTGGTTGTTTTGTTGTCTCTGAACAGATTAAGTTCAATTGCCGAACTCACAACATACTAATTCAATATTCCTTTATTATTATTGTTGTTGTTGTTGTTGTTGTTGTCATAAAGCTAATTAATATGTATTTTTTAAAACCATTTTCAGCTTTGGATAATGGGCGGGGGTTCCAGCCAACTAGGAAAGTCTGGAAAAACCAGTGATTGCAACCAATGAGTTAATTATGTCATGTACTAATAAGCACAGCTGCTGTTGAAGTAGCCAGTCAACACATCCAACTGCTAACAAGTCAATCAACATTACACATTTAAAATATAGCCGTCAGTCACATGTTGTCATTCTTAGTCGCATAGTTCAGGATATTGTTTTAGTGCTAATGTAGGTTTGGTAGTGTTTTAGGCTTTCACATTACAGACACTTAGTTAATCAGTGACTATGGCTTTTGGATTTGTTTCAGGGTAATTGTTTTCTAAGACTTTTTTTCTGTATGTAATATGAATCCATTAGCAACTTGGGTTTGTTCATGTCTTTATTAGAGGCCTGCTTCTCCTGTGTGCAGTAGCTTGTGCACTGCGTGACTCTAAAAACACATTGCAACAGCCCTCCAGACTTCCACAAGGTAAGGGTTTGCAGAAAGATGGCTTTCATTATGTGTTTTCTTGTTTCAAACTGCGTCTTTGTCTTTTGTTTTGTTCATAGTTCCCATTGTGGTTGAATGCAAGGCCCATTCCCTGTTCATCTCAGTAGACATACCACCTTCTGGCAGTGAGCCTCGTTTTGAGGCCATTGGTGCGTTTGACCCCCTTTTTCTTTTTTTCCTTATGTCTTTACTAATATAGTTTAATGTGGTGTATGGGTTTTTTCCCCCCTTCTCTTCTCTTCTCTTCTCCTTTCTGGTCTCTTAGATGCCACAGGTGCGTATCCTGTCACAGAGAGCTATGGGGCTCAGTGTGGTTACACTTACTCTGTCCTGCCTTTGCTGGGTCGTGTTGATCTCCGAGCATCATACTTCTCCTGTCACACGGGAAATCGGGTACAGAATCCAAAATAGAAAGTTCAAAAGAAGAACCATTTAAGTCTTGTTACTTGATCAAATGAATGCATATTTGCTGAGTACTACACTTCCATAACTGTTTGGAAAAATTAGCTTTGTTTAGCGGAGATGTAGCATTTCTATTTTATAGAAGTGGTCTTTAAAACTCTGTTCAAAGAATTCCAAAATGTTTCACTGTTTAAGCATCATGACTGTTTTCAGCATTGAGGAATGTTAGTTGTGCACCAAATCAGCATGTATGAATGCTTTCTTGGGATTGTGTGATTTTAAGCTGTTGACCTTTCAGTTTTGTCACAGGAATGCAATTAAAATGTGTTCTAAACTAGTAGTTTGTTTTTGACCCTTCATAACATAAAACTATTTCAATCAAATGCAGCTTTTTGTTAGTATGATGATTACTTAAACGTTCTTTGTGACCCCAAGCTTATAACTTATTGTGATTTTCAGAAAGATGAGGTCTTCACCTTCATGTTTGGTGTGTTCATTATGGATAAGAGTGGCAAAGACTCATTTTTCAATGTCTCCAAGACTTGCTCTGTTCCTCCTTTCTCTCCGAGGGTGGTTACATGTGAGGAGAACTACATGGAGGTATGAGAATGAACTTTCAGCTTTCATATAACGCATTTGCCCTGCTTTATTTGTAAAGTGTTTTTCCTCTTCAATAGGTGTCTGTGAGAACTGATCTACCTTGTCCTACAGCTGGCAGTATTAAAGAAGACTTCTCTGCAGCTTTAGCTGTGGTAAGCAACTAGTTTTTGTTCTTAAAGGGGTCATAGGATGTTGCTAAAAAGAACATTATTTGGTGCAATGCATTTATGTGATTTAAGGTTCCAAAATCGTATTATTTTCCACAATGTACACTGAAAAAAATGATTAATTGAATTTACTAAATTTAAGGTAAGTGGTTGCAATCAATTTATTTTAGATACATTTCAACAAACAAATTTAACTGATTAACTTTCAACATGTTTTTATTTTTTAAATGTAGTTAAAAAATTGTTTGCAACCACTTACCTTAAAATTTAGTATCATTTTTTTTTCAGTGTACATTGTTTCTCCTCTATGCCCTGCCTTTCTGAAACGCGTCGATTTTTACAAAGCTCATCGGTCTGAAAAGCGGGGTGCTCTGATTGGCCAGCTATCCAGTGTGTTGTGATTGACTGAATACCTCAAGCGTGTGACAGAAATGTTATGCCCCTTACCATACTGTGTTTCCATCATAGTCTATGGTTTCCCTGTGTCCCGGCGCGATGAGACAAAACCAATAAAACCCATTACAAACGAGGCATTTGTTGCATCCAGTGGGGACATAATTACTGATTGTAATGACTTGTACTGTGTTTTTATGCTTTGCGTTGCATATTGCGCCGCGTAAACCCAAAACCATGTCTGCATTTGTGATCGGAGAAATGACAAACTAAGCGCTATTCTACACTGCTCAAACTCGCGTTTGAATCATCAGTGGCAAATTTAAATATAAAAACCGTACTTGCAGGCTGGGAGTCAGAAGCGCCAGACTGTCCTTGCAAAGTTGGAACTGCCCCACTTTATAGAAACCTTGTCCTCTTTTGGAAGGCCAAACAAGGTATTTTCGCTTTCCCAACGAAACGCACAGTGGCTTGAGTGAGCGGCGCCCGGCGGATTCGACAAAGGAGGCTTGTGGCAGCCACATGTGACGACCCCTGGCTGGACTCCGCTTCGGCCACGGTGAAGGCCGATCCGGCGATCCACAGCGCGAAGTTGATGTTTTTCCTCAGCAACCAGAACTGATCAACTCCAGGTATGATGAAGCAGATATCATCCTCTTTTGGAAGGCCAAACAAAGTAGTTTCGCTTTCACAACGAAACACACGGCATATTCACGACATGGCGGCGGCAACAATACTACAGCGAGAATAAGTTACGCCGCCTTTGCGTGAACATTTGGGCGGTGTTATGCAAATAATCCCACACAGTGACAGATATGTGGGGGCGTGTTTAAACGAGGCGTTTTAGGAGGGCATGGACAAGTCTTAACTTTTATAAAGAATATCTCTTTGGATTTGAGGCTTTAGTCTTTGCAACTTTACAGGTCTTTATGCACCAAGAGCTTGTAACACTCCAAAGAGAAAGGAAAAATTGAAGTCGCGTCATATGACCCCTTTAAGGAGTTAACTTTTTTTTATTTTTTTTTTTAAATCGTGGTCTTTGGTACATTTTGTTTTTGCTACCAGGCCCAAAGTTCAGCTGTTGAGGCCTGGCAGGTGATGCTACAACGAGAGGGCCAGCAGTCTGAGGTCATGTCAACTGAAAATGCTGCTACTCTGGGCTACTTCATAATGGTCACACCTGGCAGACTTGTCCTTCGAACAACCTTTGGACAACGCCATGCTTCTGTAAAAATGGTATGGTGGTTAATGTCATCTAACTCTCTGAATAGGGGCATGTGACCTGATCTCAAGTGTTTACAAGGCAATCCTAAATGTTTAATCTCAATTGCTGCATCAAACTTGTTTCAGGTTAATGGTGTTGCGGTTGAAGTGATCCGAGCCACAGTGTTTTTCAGACAGAACTGGATGGTGGTCATGGTTGACCTGGTTGCTGCCTGTTCACTGGGTAAGAACCAGTGTGTGGGTTTTGGTTTTATTTATTTTTATCTTT